TGTTATAAGGTCACAACGCACCGTCGTAGTGCCAATCTTATTTTGAAAAATATTAAATAACCTTGAAATAATACAAGCAAATACGTGCCCACAAATATCTGCATACGTTTATCCGTTATCACACAACGATTTCCTAGTAACAAACTAAATTGTGTCAGAATAGCACTTCTTTCATAAAAACCAGCCCAAGCAGCCAACAGCAGCAACATCCTTTTAGTCACACAGCAAGACAGGAATTTGAAGCTCCCTCTGCTTGGAAACAGATGGCAAGACAGTTGGTAGGAATTTCAGCAACGCTCCAAAGCATGGTAAGAGATAAGATTTACAGTTCTTGCGCTCAGTTGTGTTCCCGCAATGTCATGACTGTGTCAGAGAGGAGCAGAAGAGAGTGTTCAGGACATCCCGAGAAAACAATCAGTGTCACATGCATGAAAACCGTTTTCATGCACGGCCCAGACTCTTCACACACAACTATCAACATCTAATCAGCTCCTGTATTTGACTATCAAACATACCACTAAATTTAATGCTCATTTTATAATATAATTTACCAAAACATTCTGCTAAAACCATAATACTAAAGGGTAAATGTGATGTTATTCATAACCATACAATAAAAGTATATTTCAGCAGCAGTTTTTGATTCACATAGATTGTTTTAGTAATCTCAGGGCTTTCCTTTTTTTTCTGAATGGATTAGCCTGCCTGGTCATTGTGTTAGGAGGTTCTTACAGTTTTTGCTCATCTGTCACAACTGAAATTGGCACGGCTTCACTTGCTTGAATGCATTTACAGCTCAGATTACGAGGTTATTTAACAGATAGACAATAATTCCAAAAATAGAAACTGGCCCAACTAAAATAAATTGCTTTTCACCTCTCAGGTGAACGAGACCAAATCAACTGCTTATTTCTCGTTTTCTGGCTGCGATGAAAGGTCCTGACAAACTATCAAGAGCGCTTCAGCTTCATCTTCTGCAAAACACCATGGATCAAAGAGAAATGCAATTTCGCATATCTGAGAAAACACTGCAAGGTCTGTTTGTTAAGTGAAAACAAAATGCAGGCTTGCACTTCAAAAGCATCAAGCGCACACAGATGTAGTCCTTCAAGCAAAGCTGCACTCAGGTCTTTGGGGAAACACTTTTTGTTTACTGTTTGAAACATAAAAAGAAGAATTCCCATATTTTACGATGTAAAAAATAGCTGTGTACGACAAATAAGTATATAGAACAGAATTAGTTCACTTGTGGTTTATAATGATTGATATTTTAGTAATGAGTTTGGATAATAATATGGTTTTAGAAAGAATGTGAAGATGAAACCTCATGAATTTATGTTCTTTCTTTGTAATCCTGTTTAAAACAAGAATGTATTGCTGACATGATCCCAGCTGCAAATGCAGCATGAAGCAACAAATTATCCTAACAACTTAGAAAATTATTTTTGCATTTTAGTTATGGCACATCTGAACATAACTTGAGCACGAAATAGAAGGGTGAATTATTTATAAAGGATAAACACTGATTCATCTGAGCTGTGTGCTTCATTAACATATTCTGCTTCATCAGGGATCTATTTAAAGTTAGAGTTTTTTTCCCCTTTTATTTATCAAGAGACTTACCACCTCAAGACGTTAAACAAAGGAAACTTCCAATCTAATTACAAGCATGCAAATGGAGAAAGAGAGGAAGAATTTAAATTTTAAAAATGGTAGTAATTGTTACAAAGACGGGTTAAATTAGCATTGCTCTACTGAATGGAGGAAGAAAAGGGGAAGATAGTGAGGGTTGTGGGCAGAAATGATGAAAATGTCAGAGTCCTGGCATGTCTTCCTTAACAGGAAGAAAGTGAGATTTGAGAAAAAAGATGCTGTCAGAGATGGCAAACAGAGGGAGGTGGGATTGTAGGTGGTAGAAATGTTGGGAAAAGTAGCAACACAACCAAAACAGTAACAGTGTGGGAGGTCGTAAACAGGTAAGACCTCATTACCAGCGTCTGTCAGTGATGTGCTGCATGCTTATGATAAAAAACAGACAAACTGGAAGGTTAGGAGATTGTAAAATTTGATTTTCTGACTTGCATTAGTGAGCTTTTCTTAAGCTGAACAAAAAACTATGAACTAAAAAGGAAGTCCCCTATGTTTACGATGAAGTGGGCTTAACCCTGCTTGAAGACGAGTTTCAGACAACTCCTGCTGCTTAATGGTGCGTTCACACCAAACGCGATTTCAGCATCAGGAGCATCAGGTTTACATACAAAGTCTATGGTGGACGCGCTTCAAGCAACGTCGGGAAGGGCTGCGGCGCCTCAAGCGCGATTAGAGCAGCGCGATTTGAACGATTTGAACGATCTGAGCGTTCGACACGCTGAGGCGCAAATCGCTGAAGTTAGAAAATCTGAACTTTTGCAGCTCGACGCGCCGCGTCAACCAATCAGAGAGACTCCACTGTGTGACGTAGCGACATATTTCCCGACGGGACAGTTTACTGAATGATGTCCACTAACCTGAAACAGATGGAGAGGAGCTCTTTAGCTGAAATCGAGTGCCTGCAGTCGGTGTCCTGACAGGAGATATCCGCACCAATGCGTGGCAGCGACTCATCAGACTGGACTCGGGACAAAAATAGTCCTGAAAGCGAGCTGTGAGCCTCTCCTGCAGCTCCTGGGTGATGAAACTCAGAATGTCTCTGAATTATCTGGTGAATTAATTATGAATTAATTATCTGATGAACGTGACATGCTCTTGCTCTCTGTAAATAAAGCAAAGCCACTTCCTCATCCGACATTAAACAGAGCCCGACAGAGGAGGGAGGGGCGGGGAGGCTCTTGCCGTGCAGCGCTTCAAGAGCTGACCTGCGTCTGACCTCAAAGTGCACAAGCGACCAACTTGAAGCGATGGATGCGATTTTGAAGCTGAAATCGCGTTCGGTGTGAACGCAGCATAATCCAGAAAACATCAGCAGATTATTAAGGAACTGTCCACACAAACATGATCCTTTTCCTCTTAAACGGGGCATCATTTCTCAAAACATTTCCATTTGCATCAAAACAGAGAACTCAAAAGCTGCAGTAAGGATGCCAGGCTTGTTTGCAGCGCTGCAATGCTGCCACGAACGTACACCAAAACAAGAAAAAACAAAGTCCAAACTCAAGCACAAGAACGGTGAATAAAAAAAAGCAAAAACCAAATCCTTTTTGTGGACTGGTGACAAACTGGGACTTCTCTTTGTGTTACATTAAACCACTGTAGACAGAACTCCAAGCAAGTGGTTAAGCTGGAGGTAATGGGGCTCTAGGAGAGGATGGAGGAGGCAAATGTGAAAAATTATACGCATTACCCTAAAAATGATGCTTACAATAAAAAGGGCTTAGCCCTATTTGAAGTCGAGTTTCAGACAACTTCAGCTGCTCGATGCAGGAACATCGGCAGGTGATTAAGCTGCTCTACACCTTCACTGGTCTTTCAGCTGTCCGTCAACACTCCCAACGTTTTTCTTTTCCCCCTTTCTTTTCTTCTCTCCAACTCCTCTTTTATTCAGCAGCTTCATGTGTGACAGAACATGCGCGCCTCCACCTACACAAACGATCTCAGCAGCCAACCTAATGTTGTGAATGCGACACAGCCTGCAGATCTGCTCAGCCGTGGCAATCATGAGCTCTGACGAGGCAGGGCTGAGGACGCGAGACGTTCTGCGGCTCAGACGCGAGTTTGTTGCTTCGATGCTGGGAAAACGCAGTCGTTTGACAAATACCTACCGCCGATGTGTTGCACGCTGAACGCGAGACTAACGGACACCCGTAGAACAGAAGAGTCACGTCTTTGACGGGCTCATTTAGGGCGCCTCGGAGAGGAAACAGGGTGTTTCTGTGTGTGTCTGTTTGGGACCCCTAGAGGGCTGAAAGCTGGTAGCCTGAGGCAAGACTACACAGGTGGAGATGGCAGTAATTACACAAGACAGAGCGTCTATGGGGAGTCCATTTATAACAAATATTCCACCTGGGATGTCATTAAAGCAAAGAGAAAAGGTCTGACACGTGCATGGAATAAGAATGCCCTTAAAGCAAACTTTAAGTGAACAAACATGCAATTTAAACTTTAAATGTCACTCTCTGACAACCTGTTAATTTGTGTATTACAGTTAGAGAGCTTTTCAGCATGTCATTGCAGCACTGTTACGTCACTATTTAAATATGGATAGACAACTTAGGCATTTTGACTGATTTGACCGACCCCAGCATGGAAAAGCCTTCATCATGTCACCCATGTTCAATTATGAGTCTTTATTAAAACAACACCACATCAAATTATCCATGCAGAAATAAGCAATAATGACTTTTTTTTTTAAGGAAGCTTTAAATGCAAGACTTGTGACAAAGAATTACGTGTTGGAACATGAAACGTACTTCAACAAATGCTTGATAAAACTGAACTAAGATTATTCTAACTTTGAGATAAGCTTTCAAAGAGCCCACTTCGACCATGAACATTTCTATTTTGTTTTATTTTTTATTGTTTTGATCTGATGGAGGAAAATAAAATGATGCAGCGTTGACAGGAAACAGGAACCACACGACAGCTACAGATTTTTATCTCAATTATCAGGCAGTCACGAAAAAAAAAACCCTAAACAAACAACAATTATCGTTATCAGGAGGTCATTTTGTAAGATTTCCTGTTTCTTCAGGAGGACAGAGGGAGAATCATCTTCCTTTTTAGGCTGCGATACGTGAATGGGGAGTAAAAAAAAAGCTAAAATACTCGATAAATTCAATGCAGCTAAAATATGACTGATTTATTAGCTAAACTGCATGAGCACGAGCTGCCTTACTGGACTGCTAGCTAACTTTTCTGTAGTTTTATTCGGAAAGAGTTACCTTTAACAGATGTTTTAATGAAATGTGTGCAAACACTATCATCTCACAAGCAGCTCTTCTGCGGTTAGCGGTGTTTATATGATCCATTTGTGCCCATTGAGAGAGAATGGAGCGCGTGCTTACCTTTAATTTCTCCCACCTTGCCTCCTCGCAAGAAAAACGAGGCTCGCGCTGGTCAGTCGTGGATACACACAAACCGTGACTGCGATAGAAAATAACCGGAGGAGTGGTAATACCTTCACCTTTATTTATTTTTCTCTGCCGCTGTCCGCGAGCTCCGCCGCCGACCGCCTCCCCGTTTCTTCAAATCAGAAGTTCATCCAAAGTTGCGACGATTCGCTCCGCCTCGCGACGGCGATGAGGTCACTGCCTCGCCTCTTTCTGCGTTCTCGCGATACTTCGCAGAGCGGACCCGTTCTTGATGCGCAAATCTCGCGATGCCAACAAGAGCGGATGAGCAGACTGCTAATCAAAAGAGGAGAGCGTTGCTGTGGGAACAGAATCCGATGAGGTCTTTTCTTTTTTCTTTTTCTTTTTTCAACCGACCACTGTTGGTGCATGTTTGGCAGCTGAACACAGCAGAAAACGGTCGTTTTTTTGGCATCACGTGCTGCAGTGATGTACTGTATGCCAAAACAACTGGACAACTATCAAAAATACTTATCAAGATGTCAGTAATGGTCTTAAAATGTCTCACTGTGTTCAAATAATCCCCCTGGTTTGTATGAAAGGTTATTAATTCAATTTTAACTGCTGGTTGTTGACAAGTGGCTGTTAGGAGTAATTAAACATTTGATTTTTAACTGCTTTTTGTTAGCAGACAACCAGAAATGCAAATTTGGACAACTAAACTACCTAATTTAACCTTTTTACAGTCACTTAGTCCGACCAGTTTATCTTCAAGAACATTTTCTTCACTTACTTATTAAATGTAAATATTTTTGATCATGCTTTTCTACATTTTTTACAATTTAGCATCTCCAGTATATAAGCATTCCTTTAAAACTTAAGTTAGTTTTAATATTCTTTAGCAAATTATATTTTTCTCTGGAACTGTCGTAAAACAGACATGCTAAAGAATAGAAATAATTATGGTATTTATGATGAGATATATTAATAATGAACATGCTCACCCACATAAGCAAATGCACACACTGGATCTGGGGAGAAAATTGTGACGTTTACTTGATTTTGCTGTTACTCTGTTGAATAAAAAGTTATTTGTACTCAGGTTTTGTATGGGACCGTGCCAGTGTGGGATTATTTTAAAGTCACACGAGCTTTCTCATTTATTGTGCTTCATGATGTGTCGACTTGAACTTTTCACAAGTTGTTTTTGTAAAACCCATCTGGTTATTTTCCATGTCTAAGATCAACACTCACTCATTCAGATATTGGAGACTGAAGCTTCTTTATTTCGTTGCAGCTCACCCTGACCCTAACATCTGTGATTACAGATGTTTTTATTGTGATTAGAACTGTCTTAAAGTGCCTCACTCACATTACCACACAGTAATGGAGATTAATGAGGAACATGACATTCACATGTCTAAATATAGACTTTGATGTGCATGAACTCTGCAGAAAAAAATGTCTTAGTGTTGCACCTTTAATGTCAATTATTCTCTTTACAGCTGGATGATTTATGACAAATTGATCAATGACGTGTTCTGCTAAGCACCGTTTCCAGAATAACTCCCATCAGCTGACTCTGTTGTTACCTCAGCTTCTAGTTCTGCTGAGTTAACTTTAACATTTTAAATTAAACTCTAAAACAGATTTTTCATCTCTGCTGTATCATTAGGTGCATTGATTTGTGAAGTTGTGTCGATCATCAGTCTTAAGAGTTTAACTGTTTGCCTGAACATCTCCTAAATGCTGCAGCTAACAGGTATGCTGCCAAAGATCACATCTCCACATTCTGAGGATTTACTTACTCATTAGATATAAAACCAAACTCATTCCATTTGATGTAAAATAACTCGTTCTCTATCGACCTGCAGGAACACTGTGCGCTCGGTATGCAGGTCTGGTTGTTCCCTGAAATTTCCAGGATAAGAAAGAGAGACAAGGTCTTTAGTTATTCAGCTTGTGACCTCTGGGATCAGTTGCCTTCAGTCACTTACTCACCTAAAACGTGTGCAGTTGGAGTATAATTAGCAGAAAAACCAAGGAAATGTGTGTGTTTGGTGGATTATTTTAATAGTTGGAACAATAAATCTTATAGCTGCACTTGATAGTCAGCCCCTGGGGGGACCAGAAGCTCAAAATAAGCAAAATAAACTGTTTCACAGAGAAGATTTGGCAACTTTTTCATGTGTGCAACTCAGCTCTACTGCTCATCCCATGAATGCATGTTCCTTACAAATGTGGCTCCATTAAAAAGAGAAATTAACAAGCTTTCCAACAGTATATGATTTCATAGAGGCATTGTTACATCAAAGAAATAATCTACTAAACACAAATTTCATTTTTTTGTGCTAAATTTAGTTGCTATAGCTGTTTGATCTTGACCAAAACATGAATGCCTGTAACCATCAGTTTTACAGATATTAACCTCAAATTTGGCTGTAATAGCTGAGAGTCATCCTCATCTCATTTTTTCAAGCACAAGACATTTTTATCCATCCATTTTTCCATTTTGGATCATGTTTGTGTTTAAAAGTTCATTTTAAAAAATGTGCATGAGGTGAGAGGACTGTTCTTAGAGGGGTCCACACACAATAAAACAAAAACAAAAATATAACTTTACAACAAAATTTAAAAACAAACTAAACAATAAAATTAAAAAAGGCAAAATCAACTTCTCAAGTCAACCCTACACCGTGACAACATCATAGTGAGATGAAAAATGAAGTCACTTTAATATAATTTCCAACGATGTCATTTCAGCAGCAACGCACTCCAAGTTCTCATTTCTAAGTGATTTTGTTTTTGGGAACGGACATGTAAAGGCAACTGCAGAACGTGTCTCATTAAAAATATGTCGGTGAATTAGGTACATTTTTAAAAAAAATAAGATAAAGATGAAAAGTAAGTATTTTTGTAGTATTGTCAAAGCTTTGCCTTCACCAAACTGCACCAATATGGTCAAAAAGGAAGGATTGTTAGCTGCACACATAACCTTTGCAAACTCCACCTGCCTCTTTTCCATCCATAACATTAATTATTGAATCATTAATTTTTCATTAGATAAGAGAACATTTCACTAATTAAAGCAGCTCTGCAGGTGATGAGGGAGTGAGCATTATGAAGTTTAATTTTGTCTCTCCTAAACTGTCACTGCTGAACACTTTTGCTGTTTGTATTCCAGAACCTTCCTGCTACTTTTTCTTATCTGTAATTAATAATTTGTTAATGACAAGAGTTCTTTAGTTGCACCGACGTCTTCTTAGTCCCACTTGTTCCAAAATGTCACCTAGGATTCCACAACAATCTAATAAAGACAAAGAAAAATCAGCTTTCTGTCATTTAAACTGGTCCTGCAGCAATATGAGCCTGAACTCTTCCCCCATTCTGTCATGTGGCAGATGTTTGTGTGGGGGTGGCTTGTGTTGTTCTCTAAAGGAGTGATTCCCAACCAGGGGTACGTGAGCATATTACGGGGGTATGTGGAAAAATTTCACAGATGTGTAAAAAAATAAATAAAACTAGGACTGGGGTATGTAGGGCCCCATGATTTCCACAATGCGGAAATTGCAGATGGAATCACAGAATTAACACAAAATGGAATCTAGTATAAAACGTGAAATCTCACAGAATTTGCTCATTTGGGCGAGTTTCTGACATATTTTGGACGCTGCTGCTTCCTGCACCTGCCATTACCTGGTTTATTTATTTAATTACTCATTCACCTTCAAGGCAACGTTTTTATCTTTATGTTTAACAAAAAAATCTGAGAATTAAACATTCAAGGGGTTAATTAAATACTTTTCATTTAATAATAAGTTGTAGTGCATTGTAGTTTTGGAGAATCATCATTACGTTTGACTGAAGGGGTACTAGAGGTATGACAAAATGGCGCTGGGGTACACTGTTCCTTCTACCCTTTACGTTGTTCCAGCACTTTCAGGACCTTGGACAGTTCCTTCAGTCCTTCACACTGTCTAAAGTCCTGAAACATTTCAGCACTTTCAGGACCTTGGACAGTTCCTTCAGACCTTCTCATATTCTAAAGTCCTGAAACATTCCAGCACTTTCAGGACGCTGGACAGGTCCTTCAGACCTTCTCACATTCTAAAGTCCTGAAACATTCCAGCACTTTCAGAACCTTGGACAGTTCCTTCAGACCTTCACACTGTCCAAAGTCCTGAAACATTCTAGCACTTTCAGGACCTTGGACAGTTCCTTCAGACTTTCTCATGTTCTAAAGTCCTGAAACATTCCAGCACTTTCAGGACCTTGGACAGTTCCTTCAGTCCTTCACACTGTTTAAAGTCCTGAAACATTCCAGCACTTTCAGGACCTTGGACAGGTCCTTCAAACCTCACATTCTAAAGTCCTGAAACATTCCAGCACTTTCAGAACCTTGGACAGTTCCTTCAGACCTTCTCACATTCTAAAGTCCTGAAACATTCCAGNACATTCCAGCACTTTCAGAACCTTGGACAGTTCCTTCAGACCTTCTCACATTCTAAAGTCCTGAAACATTCCAGCACTTTCAGAACCTTGGACAGATCCTTCAGACCTTCACACTGTCCAAAGTCCTGAAACATTCCAGCACTTTCAGGACTTTGGACAGTTCTGTCAGTGCTTTACACTGTTTAAAGCAGTGACTAGGAGCAGCATGTATGACCAGGAGTACATGAGCATATTACAGGTGGTATATGGAAAAAATTTCCAGTTGTTAAAATAAATGAATAAAAATAAGACTGAGATACGTAGGGCCCTGTGATTTCCGTAATGTGGAAATTGCAGATGGAATTAAAGAATTAACACAAAATGGAATCCAGTATATAATGTGGATTCTTTCTGAAATTGCTCATTTGGGTGAGTTTCCGAAGTATTTTGGACAATACAATGTATTTTGGACTGCTGTTTTCTGCACCTGCTGTTTTCAACTTTATGTTTAATTTGAGTTGAAAAAATAAAATGCCTGAGAATTAAACCTTCTTCGGGGTAAATAAATACTTTTCATTAAATAATCAGTTATAGTACATTATAGTTTTGGACAATCATCATTACGTTTGACTGAAGGGGTACTAGTGGTAAAACAATATGGCTCAGGGGGTACACCAGTCTAAAAAGGTTGGGAACCACTGCTCTAAAGGATGCCTCCTCCTGCTGAGAATTAGAAGTCTAATTGGGTTAACC